CCAATTTGTAAGCCAAATATAGAATTTGGATATGGTGAGAGATTATTTAGATGATAGTTCTGGACAGATTTCCCAGACAGAAAGCCAGAAAATAACATAGTAATATGCTTTGTTAAAACCTCAATTTTATTTCAATATATTTATAATTAACAATAACAATTTAGAGAATTAGTCAGTATGATAAGGGCCAGAAAACCGGAAGAAAATAAGAACTTATACTAGTATGTTATATTTTTTACCTAAAAACGCCAATGAGCGAAACTGGAGAACGTTTCAGGTTCCACCTATTTTGTCTTATCATCCAGTTTTGTCTGATTTTGTTGTTATTGCAAAAGGTTTGTTTGATCAAAATATAATGTAACTCTGTATACAATAATGGTGGCATTAGCTACATGGCAGCATTAATCCATATTCAAATAGTTTAGACTGTATTTAGCTTTGCTATTCTTACAATTATATAATGTCTGTTTAAGTAAAATCTGATGGGCAAGGTTAAATGTGTATGCTTTTAACTAATGTGTGAATTTTACAACAGACATTGTACCCTTTTAAAAGTACGATAAATTAGATGTAGAGAAAAAAATATCAGATGTATCAATGTATCCTTTTTTAGGAATTTAATCATTCTTAATTTAATAAATGTCAAACCTGGTTCAAGAAAAATTTAATTTAAAGGGAAGCAATAATCACCAAAACAACTTTAGTTTAATAAAGCAGTTTTGAGTACAGAGCATGTCCTTGTAGTCTCAGTGCTCGATTCTCCGTCATTTCGGAGTTACATCACCTTGTTTATGCAGCCTTAGTCACACCTCCCTCTCACTATATGTGACTTACACTGCCTAACTGAACACTTCCTGTAAAATGAGATCTAATGTGTAAACTTCCTATATTACATACTATCTTTAATTTAAAATTTTGTTTCAACCTGCACTGTGTATAACCTTCTAGACCCTGCAGGAGTCTTCTGTGTGATAAAAGTTCAATTTATAGAGATAAAAATGTCTAAAGTAAGTTAAAAACAAACTTTTTTCATGCAGACTGTTTTGGTCACAGCCAGCAGAGGTGTGGCTAGGGATACAGGGATGGAAACAAAAGTTACTATATCTCCAGAGAATTGAGACTTCAGGGGCATGAGCTATACACCAAAACTGCTTCAATAAACTAAAGTTGTTTGGTGGCTACAGTGTCCCTTTAATATATGAATATATTTTAATGTATTTTTCCACATGTGTGTAAAATATATAAAAAATTTTATCGTGGCATGAAAATACATTAGGCAGGATCTTGTTTAAATAAACGACTTTCCCCATGGACATGACAAAACATGATGAATTACTTTGCAGCAAATATTATTGTGACCTTTGTATAATCTGGTGTATGTCTTATTTTATTCCTAGATCTTAATGCAAGAGTTCTAACTAATATTATATGCACAATTATTAAAGTAACATCAACCAGGAACATGCATACCACAAGTGTTGTCAGATATGATGGAGTGTGCAAAATTATTCTAAACTTGGATACAAAGTTGTACTGTAGAACATGGCATTGGACAGATATAAATGATTTCCTGAAGGCCATTTTTGCACATTTAGCATTTATCTGAAGAACTTGCCATATACAGGAGAAGAACATTAATATTAACTTCATCTATAATAATGTAAGCTCAGTATTGACACAGACTTGAGTTTCTTATTTGATTTTCTAAAATTTCTTATGAAATCCTCCAAATGTCAGAAAGAAAATGTCTTTTTTTACATATATTTTATTTTCAAACATTTTCTTTTTCCTCAATGAAAAAGCACAATTGTGTATAAAATCCAACATAAGGTGCGGAGTTCCAATAATCAACAATTATACATCACTAGACAATGTTTTAAAAAAATCTGACGCTGGATACACGTCTGGAAACTTGCATTCCTATTTTGATTTGCTATAAAATTGTTTCACTTTTTATTCTTTTTGCCTTTTGCATGTTGGAATAACTTTTTAGTATCTACTATAAATGAGATCTTATTCTTAACTAATTTGGATGAATTGCACCAATATCCATCCACTATATATTTTTTGGGATATATAACAATGTTGTACATAGAAAGTGAAAGCTTTCCTTGTTAGTTTATAGAATTTATATATTGGCTGAGTAAAATTAATACCCGTTTTTCTGGCACTGCAGAATCTTGCAGTGCCCCCCTTCCTCACAACCCCATCCCATGTTGCTGAAGGGGTTAAAACGATGTCCCTCAGCGCTGGGTCAGGCTTCGCCCACACTCCTCCCCCGCCGTCAGCCGGCAGGGGAAACCTAATGAGCATGCGCGGCAATGGCTGCGTGCACGCATTTGACCTCCCCATAGGAAAGCATTATTTAATGCTGGAGGTCCTCATGCATAGCGTGAGGACGTCCAGTATCGTTTAAAACACTTTTCGGGTTTTAAGAACCCAGAAGTCCCTCTAGTGGCTGTCTGACAGACCGCCACTAGAGAAGGACTTAACCGCAATAATTACACTTGCAGGGTTAAGGGTGATGGGAGTTGGCACTCAGACCATGCCAATGGGCAGAAGTGGTCTGGGTGCTTGGAGTTTCCCTTTAATAATGGAGGGGTCCCAAAGCAACCACTGTGATTAATTATTTTTTTTTTTCAATGCCATATTAATTTTACTTTCATACGCTGACCAACAGCATGGATGGACACGTGATATGAACCATTCTTAAAAATGGTGGATCCGACACAGAATATCTTACATACGTTTTAGGGTTCTGACCATACTAATAAATCATTTGAATGAGACAACATGCTTCAGATTAATACAAAATGTAAATATTTGACTTCTGTATATATGATTTAGGAATTTATTAATCATTGTAAAGTTGCAAAAAATAGCTCAAAATAATAAAAACATCTAATTTCCCATATGTTACCGGCACACACACTCACTGGCAGATACACTCTCACTGATTAGACACACACTGACTGACACTTACTGACACACACATTCACTGACAGACACATACATACACTGACAGACACACTCACTGACACACACATACACTGGCAGACAGACACACTCACTGATGAACACACTTGCTGATCTGACACACACTGACAAACACACACACAGTGACAGACACATACACATACTCTCACAAATATATCTCATTTGGAGATACTTTCTATCTGTTTTGGTCTAAAGTTTGCATGTGGCTATCAGTTTATCAAAACTTTGTGTTTTAACATCACTGTTTTCATTCATTAGTTCTAAATTCCTGGAATTTTAAATGAAAAGAGAGGACATGCATTCTAAATTAAGTTTAACTATTCACCTGGGAAGATTTTCAAAGATATGCCAAAAGGTGTACGAGTAGCCATTCACTACTCGTGTAAAGTAAGAAAACAACATGTCCTATCAATAAATATTGCTTTTTCTAAAGTTCATTAGTTCTTTATCTCTCTTCTCCTAACTTTTGATGTAGCACTAAAGCTATTGACTGATGCTCATTCTGCTTGATAAATATTACCAATGTGGAGTATTTTTTGTTTTGGCCCATTTACTGCGAGACACGCTTGTAATGCATTGCAAAGCGGTGCTTCCATCTTGCCCCTAGCAGCAAGTTGGACTAAGGAATGGATATATGGCAATTATGACAAATAAATTAATTGCCTCCATCATAAATAAGGAGCTGTGTGTTTATTTAGAAGAATAATCAGATCTATTGCTTAGCGCAGCACATAAAAGAACCTCGGAAAATAAAGCTGGATTGAATTCTTTGGCATTCACAATGGCTGTAGTCATGAATAGAGAACAACACATTGACTGCAGCAATAGAAAAAAATAATTGCTTTTTGTAAATGTTTAATATTTAAAACATGAAAGACTGCAAGCACTGCATCTAAGTGACTAACATGATGTCTGGGCTTTAATTTATTCAGCATCTGATGGAAGTGATGTTTTGAGGCTTGTTCATACCATTTATGCATGCCAAGTGCAATAGCATAGTATTTGCAGTGAGTCAGCATATATAAAGAACACAGTAATAATGAAGTATGTTTTAGAATTGCCTTTGTATTTGACCTGTGGTGCTGATTGACAGAACCATTTCAAACAGTAAATTATACAACTGTTATTTACTTGTGAAAGCAGATTTTTGTTATATAATCACACAAATTACCAAAGGTAATATACTATTCCATAAAAATCATATCCCACTATAAATTATAATATATTTCACCTTATTAAAGCATGAAAATCAGATTTTATTTACATACCTAAAAAAAGTTAAAAATAACTAAGTAGATGTAAATAATTCTCGGTAGAGCATTGTTTGCTGTATTACTTTAATCAGAACTATTATTCAACAAGCATATGTAAATATGACCATCATTTCATAGCATGTTTTTGTTCAATCATTTTTAAATAACAATATACTGTTGGAACATTTATTGTTTCATGTTTTTGAAAGAAATCTGTTTGATGTGTATGTTGAAATAATGATATGTAGATACACATATTTTACATGTTACTGCATCATAAAAATTATCAACATATTCAAACAATATTGAATAGTTTAACAAGACTGTTTTGTTATGTTTCTATTCATAATATTGTACTTTTTATTTGTTATACTATGTTATGCTCAGCAAAATGATTACATATATACACATGGATGTAATGGTTTTTTTTTGCATTGTCAACCAAACTGCAAACTTACAAAAAACAATCTCATAATAGCTAATTGACTTGAAATTTTTAAGTATTTTGTCACAAAAAGAAAATATAATACACATATAATAGCTACACACAGAAGACAGTGACCCACATAAACATTTACACACAGAGAACACTGACACACATACAGAACACTGACACACACAGTTACACATAGAGGACACTGGCACACATGCACTCACTCGCAGATACACTCTCACTGATTTGACACACACTGACAGACTCACTTACTTACACACACATTCACTGGCAGACACACACTCACTGATAGACACATTCACTGATTTAACACTCGCTGACAGACACACTCATTGACACACACTCACAAATTATTATTTTTATTTTAAGTCCATCCAGCCTCCCTACCTTTGAGAGAGCTGAAGTGAATCCTTTTTTTTTGGAGGTACATTGGGGATTTCTTCACTGAGGTCCAGTGTGGGATTTGTGTAATCTTCATGCTCTTGCTGCACTGCTCCCTTGCTGCACTGCTCCCTCACCTCATCGCTGCAGGGAAGATCATGGCGGGGGATGCGTACCACGGGTTGAGAAACTAGTATTTACACTGATGATCCTACCCAAAAAGGTGGAGCATCAGGTTTGTCACTGGATGGCGGGGGTCCCAAATATGTTGTTTAAAACTATAGCATTGGAAATACATGTTTCTCAAATGACTCTACAATGAAAAAGCCTCCTGTTATTAGGCAAGTGGAAGACAGTCAAGCAGCTTCCTCTCCAACGACCAGACAGTGTACAGTGATGCGAGTCAGGAATAAAAGCAAGCGGAGGAGTCCTAGGCTCTATCCTCACAGGAGGAAAACTGTCCATTCTATTCCCATACAGTACAGTGAGTTATAGGTGAATTATAATGATTAAAAGACTTCATGGTTGTGGCATTAAGTGTCCAGTGAAATAAAAATGAATGCAATGTTTACCTCAAACCTCTTAGGTAATTTTATGTATATTATTAGTTCCACAACCTGTTCTAAAACTTACCAAATCCAGTACTCATAGGTACTCATTGGTATTCATAGCTTTAAATCAGAGCTGCAAATTTGGGGATCTATGTTTTTTTTTGCAAAACCTCTCAAAGTGACATGATCACTTACATAGTGGCACCTGGGAGTAGGAGGACATTATATATAGTTACCTTTCTTGTGTCATAACCACCATTGTCTATATGGTCCTTGTGTTAAGGTCCTGGTCACCTTATATGGACATAATGTAGAAGAATACAAAACTGGGATCTATAGAAAATCTTTTAAAACTACAAGATTTCTTATAAATGATCTTATGCATGTATCATTTGATGTTGTGGAGATCTATTGTGCATTGCACAATATATAGATATACCTTCAATTAACCATGCATGCATTTATTATACATTTTTCTTTGAGGGTGTATCTAAAACAACTTGAAAAAGCTGCAGATCTTCCGTCTGCAGCCCAGACTTGTTGTAGCTGTCCAATCACAGACTTCCTCAAGCAGATCAATGAGATGTCTTTAAAAGACAGGTGCTCTCTGCAATAGCCTGCTTCTTGAGTTCCACTTACTGTACTAGGAAGTAACAAGACCAGTTGTCTGAGGGGTGTAACAAGGTTAATTTATAAAACTGCCCATTTCTATTGAAATCTTCATGTTTTGTAAAATGAAAACAAGAGAACACACTCTACAGACATAAAGCACTTCAGCAAGCTGGAGTGTCTTAAGGATCTGGAGTGTTCTTTAATGAGAAATCCAATCCCCCAAAAAACTCAATCCATTGTCACACTTTGCCCAAAATCTTCCTGTCTATAAGCAAATAAGTCCCTACTTCGTCTTATGATGTATTTCAGTTGTTTTGCATTTTTTATGTAGTTTAGCCTCAAAGAGTTTTTCCATATATATTCTATATTGCTAGTGCCACTTAAAGTCTAAAAAAAAAAAAAAACACAAAACCCCCCCAAAAAAACGCATATAGTCATAACAGATGTCTGTGCTTAAAATGAGGGATTTTGAGTTACATAGAATGGCCACATATTCCAGTTTGCTAGAATAAGGCATCATCTGTGCATATCTTTCAGTTTTCTCAAATGAATTGTAACATTAGATGCAGTTTCTGTTATGAGTTTTATTTTTCCAAATACATTGCCATCATTCTTTTTTCTTTACATTGTTTTAGACAGAATATAATTTAATATTTTTACCTGTCTTCTTAATATTAGCCTGATCCATAGAACATATTTTCCTTAGCCTATATATTATTATTTGTTCATTTCAAATATAGACACTGTATGGAATATGTGTATTATGTAAAATAATATGTCATCTCTTAGTTTTCTCTTTCTATTTCAATGACATTGGAGAAATAATGTAAAAAGTAAAGGCACAAACATTCCTGTGATGGTTACCTTTTATGGCATGCAAAACCTATTTTGAAATTGTTTTGCCAAGGTCACATTGAATGAATAAAAACAAAAGTGACATTTTTTTCCATAAACCCCATTTCTGCCCCCAGGGGGCCTGTTCGCATGCAGTGTACTCCTGGCAGCATACAATGCACATGTTTCATTCTTTCAAAATAGATAATATTTTCCTCATTTTGCATATTTTCCAGTCCATTGATGAATGCAAACTAAATTGCAGTAAAATGCAAATAACAGAAACTTGAGACTCATGTCAACACTTGTTTGTTCATTTTCTTTTCTATAATCTTGGGTATTTATTTTCTCTCCAGCTTTGCTTTAAAGAAAAATAAAATAAAACATTTTTAAAGGATAATGCAGAATAATAACTTAACAATTAAAGTGACTCATCGGCAAACATTAGACAGGCAATAAAGTTTTATGTTTCCAATGAGCTGTAAAATTCAGCAGCAGTTAAACATGATAAAGATCTTCCAGGATATTCACTAAAGTGTGAATTATGAAAGCATCACAGTAAATATCAAACTTTAGGCCAACTTTATTTTGGGCTAAAAAATTAAGTTCACTTTAAAATGTAATTTTCACAGTGAAAAGCCCTTCAAGTCCACTGTCTCCAAGATGGCCACTCTACTGGATGTTACAGCAGGCCCATGCCTTTAATAACCAACAATTGCAACATGCGAATGTACATGATGTGTACATATCTGATCTTCTTTTGTATCCAAAGTTTAGCTGGATGACTCTTAAAAAAAAATTGTGTTTCATCGACAACTCCATAAATTTAAGACATAATCAAAATCATTTTCAAAGTTTTATTTGTCAAAAGCAAAATCAAAGCCTGCTCTTTTTTATTCTAAATTTGTTAACTGAACACCAGCATTGCCATTTATGCCACAATGCAACACATAGGTAATTATCTGTCAACGCATGCAAAATTGATGCGATTGCCCATCTACTGCTGAGTCAGGTAAGAGAACTGTGAAAATGTGATACCAGGATAATTTAGACATTTACATCTGTCACAGAATGATTAGAATTAAAGCAATGCCACTTGTTAGATGTGCACACACTATGATAAATTAGACTTATTATCAATTGCTCTGAGGTCATTTTGTGTGAAAACACATATTACGTTTTTCAACTGTACAACTGTTTCTTCAGGAAAATAAAATATATAATTCTTTACTCAATCAGCAAATTTTCACATTAGAAGAATCCATTAGACTTTTTTTTACCGGGTCTCATTAAAAAAAGTTAAATGTTAGACCATTTATCGTTTTAAAATAATATCTCGCTAAGGGGGCAGGCAAGCTATGATCCCATGAGATAATTGACTTGCGGCAAAAGAGATTTGTACATATTAAGGTATAATCAAGGTTATCGAGCCTAGGCAAGGTCACAATTCTCATAACCAGTGACAGCTAAACTGAATGAAACTGCCAGAGATACTAAATCACACTGTACACTAAACCCTTTTAATGAGCGAACTGCTAAAAAACGAACTGCTGTAGTTTGCATTTTTTATATTGTGTGCTTATTTAAACATGCACATAAACTAAAGCACTATATCAGAATATTAATAAGTAATGGAGTGAATGAAAATTAAAGACCACCACATCAGTGCAACAGTTGATAAGTCTGAATCGGAAGCAGTTTGCTTTGCAATTAAAATTGGGACTTTGTCCAGTAAATATTGCAGACTTGGCCTTTTGCCTTGAGGCTATCATTTTTAGCGATTAGCATCCTAATAGGAACATTTCAGAGGATTTGTCATTGCCTTTCCTGGAAACATAGGACGCTTTGTGGTTTTTATAAAGCTATAAAGAATTCCAATTACTTATATAGCCATCCTGTGGTGTGGCACTTCCTGATTGTATCAAATAATTATTTGTTCAACATATTTCTTTTGTAATAATCATGCATAATATAAGGAATAGCTCATTTAACACATCTCTTCAATTATTAGTATTATATATTGTTTATTAGCTTTATTAATCTACATTTTTTTTCTTTATTAATCTACAAATGCATTCAACACCCTTCCTTTTTACAGACAAAAGCCTTAGCTTTGTTACACAGTTACATGGATGTCTACGTGGAAAAAATATACTAAAACCCATCAAGTTCAACCTTGAAATCCATTCTTTTATGCTGTTGATCCAAAAGACTGTAAAAGTATATTAGACTTAAGTGGTGCTCTGTTGATATTTAAGAGGTGAATTCTATGAAGACCTCTTAATTAAAACCTGTATCTGCTACCTGAGGCTTTAAGAGTCTTTTTTTTATACAAAGAAGAATGTATGTATTTTAGTGGAAACAATATATTTTATATTAAGCTATCACTTGAAAGGTCAAACAATGAACATTAAAATCTTGTGATATATTGTTATATATTTCTATCCTCTTCTGCAGTGACACAAGAATAAGACTAGACTTTGGTAGGCCATACCTCCTGGGGAAATGAACTGTTATACTGTCAGAGGATATTGCATTTAAAAATTCAGTATAAATTTCTTATTTATTTAATCTCCTCTGTCTGGACACAAGAGAAGAACCTTTCTGCTAGAATAGAGTATTCTTAGTCTGTAAGAAGGTAGTTAGTCACTTACGAACCAGTACAGGTACAGATAATAATTTTAGAAGAGGCACAACTATTTCAAATTCCAGAAATTGTTAGGGCAACACATTTTTTTAGAATATTACACCTTAGTATATACACAATTTGACAGTATGTACGAGATCATTCAATATGATAAGAAACATTGAGGTTTACCTAAAAAAAGATGATAGAAAAAACCCAAAAGGAGTGTAGATTTTCAGGTAACTTCCACTATAAGTGATCTTTAGACAGTCTACTAACTGCAACCTTTTTTTTTAGCTAAATGAATGACTATATACTGTATTAAACTACTAAAATGATGTTTTGTAACATTCTATTATCTTTCCCATGTTTTATATTGGAAAATAATCTACTAGTAAACTTTTATAAAAAGTAAAATAAAAATGAATGTGATCATGACACAACAGTTTACGAGCATATAAATATCAACTTATTGCATACACTTTTGTTTAAACATTTCAAACAGAGCTATGTGCAAATA